GGCCATCATAGGAAATGTATAAATAGTTATTAATGTAAGGATTTAGAGGCTCTGCTTCAAGATTTAGGGCGAGCCTGCCTGGACTTATCTTACTGTAATCTCAGAAATAAAAATTCTCTGCTCTGCTTTAGGGAGCATGAAATAATTTCTGTTTGCACAGTTCTTTCAGTTACTTTGATGCTGTGATATAAAGGTCACCGGTTGCCTCTGGTCATCACATGGCTTTTTCACTAATTGTGCCCTCACGTCATTTTGTTCTGTGGGATCTTTTGCTTTTTGATCCAATTTCAATTGCCCAGATGTTCATTTCATACAGTTAACTTTATACAAAGGGCATCCTTTGTTCCAACAAACACATCGTGGTCATTGTTCTCAGCTGGGAACCCAGTGCACAGCACTTCACCTGTTTCCTATGTAACCCACCATCAATCTGTCGACCTTTGTGCTGGTTTAATGTAAAGTCATTCATTGGGAGAGGAGGGATAAGGAAGAGAAATTATGCAGAAGTGTTTCCTGGTCCCTAGCCTTGGATTGATTAAGGTCATGCTGCAAGATAAAAAGGCAATAAGAAGTGGGAAAGCTTTTATCTTGACCCTTTTGTTCTGTAGTGGAATGGAGAAATCACATTAGTACCTTCAAAGTTTTGCTCTGGTGTCTCAGGATATATTAATGGAGACCTAAACATCTTCTAGAAGGAACCTTATTGCCACTTCACTCCCTTGCCACCTCTAAAGGTTTCATGGTAAGGCAGAGAGGGTGCTTGCCTGTCCATGTCAGGGTGACTGTCACACAATGAGAGGCACTGCTTCATGATCACCCAGGAGCCTATGGATTGCCCAGTTCAACAGGTTTCAAGAGGGACAGATCTCAAGGTTATTCCAACTGCAAGTGTCCTATATAGAACAGCCCCTTTGCTGTTAAGCCCCTTGGACATCACATAGACTTTAATTTAACCTTTAGAGCAATCGTGAGAGCTTAGTTCATGAGCAGATAAATTCCATGGAAAGCTTTGAAAGAAGATTGTACATATAAATGCATTTGCTGTTGCTGAAAGATCTGGAAAGTAGTGGAAAATTGGGCAGGGATTAAGCAGTATATCATGTAAGAAGGGTGTAACTTGGCAATGTATATGTGATGGCTTTTGAAACTCTGTTGTGGCCAAGAGACCTTCCAAATGACAGGAATGCAGCCATCTTGAGCCCAAACTTTCCTAGAAAGATGACCCTACAAAATTATCCAGGCTATTGGCAGGGATAGAGTTACTGTCAACATGCACAGTGTTTTAATGGCCAAGGTTGAGGCAGAAGAGGAGCTATGCTCCACAGCCCGCAGCAGGCAAGAAGAGGAGGCTTGGAGAGGTGCTGGCACTAGGCAGTGATTTTTGACATTTCTTTTATCCAGGCAGCTGTAAGAGTGCTGGGCAAGATCTGCACAAGATTGAAGTTTGGTTTAATGTGCTGATGTGATTTGCTGTGACCCCTTTGTAGCTCTCTGGTGCCTGGGCCAGGATATCCAGGACATCCACCATACTCTTCCTGTGCAAACCTGCAAGTATCTGCTCAGCTTGGCAAACAGAACAGCAAGGAAGTGAGAAGGCGGAAACGAGGGGTCCTGTCTGTTTCTCACTACACACAGTGGATAGATGACTAGAAAGGTACAGGGTTTTATTTTCAGAAAGCAATATTTCCCATTACTGATCCTGCCAAAATAGGTGAGCAGAGACAGACACTATCCCATGCTGCAGCAGCTGCATCAGCATCATTCTCCATTTCTCTCTTTTCACTCTATAAATCCCTTGACATAGCTGTAAATTCCCTGTACAGTGTCCAGCATAGCTTGCACTGAAAATAGCTGGGCAAACAACACTTCTGGAGCCTTATTCCATTAAAAATGTTGGTTTTTTTCTTCTGTGCATCTCCCAATGTTTCCATGGTCAACAAGGGCTGCATCCAAGCAGACACCTGCACTCAGTATCAGGCACATGTAATGCCTGTAAACATCACTTCCACACTGTAATAGTTTGGAAATAAGGCCAAGTGACCGAACCCCTCTGTCCTTCCCACCAGCACCCTCCAGCAGCATGACCTGGGAGGCTTCTGGTGCAGGACTTGGAGCTTGATCCATCCCAGTGACTGACAGCAGCAACGAGTAGCTCTCTCTGGGGCAGAGGACGTGGAGGGCAGGTGGGGAACCCTGTCTCCTGGGACAAGCTCCAGTCTGCTCCAGGGAATGTGCTAATTTTCACTCCTTTATAGTCCTTTATCTCAGCCCTTCAACCTTGAGCTCAGAGGCATTATCAGCCTTAGCCAGAAAGGCAGTGTGGAGTTAACCAGTGAAGTGCTGGTTGTTTCTGATATGAAGTCCTGAAGGTAAAACCACAATGAATGCAAGCAGCAAGCCAGTGGACTTTTCAGGTTTGGTGAGGACTGATTTATTATATTAGGAAAACTATTTTGTACTGAATAGATGGTTTTGTGAGGTACAGCAGTTTTCAGAGTCTGCATGCCCCACAAAGTTCCTGTAGACACCCCCTGTAAGAATGTCTCTTGTGTGCATTGCAGTACATGCATATGAACTTGTTTTTCGTAGTCACCTTTTCATCCTTATCTGGACTCAATTGTTGCTACATAGAGCACAGGCAGAAAGTTACTGGTCTCGTGCTTTCTGTGAGATCCCTACTATCTGGGTAACACTTAATATTTTGACTTTACAAAGCATTAATCTTGATTAATGTATTGCCAGTTCTGCTACTGACTTATCAGGTGACATTGAGCATGTCGTTCAACCTGTGTGTCACTTTTCATGTTTACAGAATGGGCTAAGAATACTTCAGTGGGCCATCGTGGCTATTAATGAGTTATGAATGTGCTTATGTACATGTGTGTCTTGTTTGGCAATATCAGCTTCTCTGCTTTTGGTGCCTGACAAATACTATGTAAGAAAAAGAATTCCTTTTCCTTACTGGAATGAGTGATCCCTCCAGGAGCAGCAGTAAGTGGGTAGAAGCAGAATTAGTTTGCAGAATCAGGTCAGTGTTCATGGAGTTAATTTGCTCGTGCCTTCAGATTGTTTTGTTTCCAGGGATTCTAAACCGTTGCCTCCAGCTGTTCATTTCCATTGACGAGGGTGATCTTTATCTGTCTAAACTAGTTAAATCCTGCTCCACTACCGGGCTGCTTTTTTTGGAGACAGCCCAATAAAGCTGAGTGCAGTGGCAGTGACACCAAAGCCTCCTGGACACCAGAAATTCCAAACCCTACATTTTTTTTTCCTGACTCTCACTGTTGGAGTCCCTCCTGCTTAATGGGACTCTTCACTTCCTCCATTTAACCCTTGTCCAAATAGGGGAATGATAATTTGCATTGTAAGTGGCCAGTGAAAAATCCCTTTTAGACTAATTTACTACTTTAGTATTATCAGATTAAGCCTTGACATAACCTCAAAGGTACCATTTGAACAACTAAAGCACTGTTAGACTTGCACTTAGGCTCTGCTCCATGCGCATGCTGCTTGGGATGGTTTAGTTGATGCATATTTTTAAAATGTGCTCCATTGAAAGCTTGCTGTGGTGTGCTGGGACTTGTAAGACCTTCGAGGTCAGCAGCGCCTCTTCCTCTTCACAGATGAGATGTGCAAGTTTCTGTCTTAAGCAGATGAGGTGCAGGTTTGTTGGGTTGATGAGACAGCCACCAGATGTACCAAAGAATCTTTCCCTGTGATGGAATTCAAGCAAAGATGCTGTCTGTACAGTAAGGAACTGAAAACAACAACAAAAATTTCTGTTGTTGGTAACACCCCTACAGGGACCATAGCAGAATGTGTGCACTAATGTGGAAGTGCCTTCTCTTGCTGCGGGGGTTTCTCATAGCACAATATTTTGGCCTGTGCTGAGCAGGAGCACAAACAGTACGGATGAAATGCTGATGGTCAGTTTGTACTTTAGGATCTTCTTTCTGCTACTACTGTTAACAGCAGTGGGAAAATCTGTGGCCAGAAGACCTCTCATAAAGACCCAGGCTGAGCTTTAATTTGGAATGTGCCAAGGAGACATTTTCCTATTGCTGCAGATGTTCTCATCCTTGCTGTCTAGGGAGTCAGACCCTGCTGTCTGCAGCAAACAGCTGGATCAGTTCAGATCCAAACCCGTATGTCTGTGAAAGGCCCTGTAGCCACTAAACCACCTCACAGCAATTATCAGAGTATCAGAGGAGGGAAAAGGTCTGAGGAGAAGACCAGTTTAACATGCCATTATAGGTCTTTAGCAGCTGTGTGTTATCCTATTGTTACTAATAACCTTTTTAACTTTGCAAGCAATGTTTTCTTGGCATCATTCAAGCATAATGACTTGGGGGGTCAAATTCAGCTCTCAGTTGTGTAAATATGGGATGATTCTCTTGGCTGTCTGGTGTTATTTTGCATTTGGCTCATGGTTCTTGCCCCTAAAAGCCAGGCAGAGTATTCAGTCACAGTATTTCTTTGCATACTCAGTTGGTATGCAAAGCATAAAGTAAACAGATGAACTACTATCAAATCCATGCAATATAATTATGGCTTTACTGTCCTTTGGTTGAGGTGAATGGGTTAGTCCTTTATAAATTAGAACAGGAGTGTGCTTGTTACTTTTCATATGTAATTCCACCAGTAGACAACGATTGTAAACTCAGGAAAATGTGTTTTAAAAGGGGTTTTAAATAAAGAGAAAGAAATTCGGTTTGGGTTAATAAAGAATCATTGAACAGAATAGTTGTTGCTTGGGGTAAAGCTGTCAGAAAGCTCACATTAATGGTGAGAAAGGGGAGACCTTGGTGAATCTATGAGGAAGGAGTTGGAACTGCTGTTTCCCTTCTAGCCCCCCAAGATACAAGCTTGTAAGACTCTTAAGTAAGGTTCAGTAGTTTTATATGGTAAATAAATTTATCTTGATTTCAGTATCTCTTTTCTAGCATGGTCTTTGCAAAGTTCTCATCAATGAAATGACTAATTGCACTTCTTATTTTCAGGGATCTTCCGGATAATCCAGCTGTGGAATGGGACACACAGCTCCTTGCTGCCTTTGTGCTAAAGCATATAGAAGCCAATAACATCAACCTGGTAATGTGAAACTTTCTACAGCATAGGCAATTTCTACATTACTTTTGAGCTAGTGTTCTAGGTTTTTTATTCCCTCTGAAAGCTTTCTTTGAAGTCTTTAAATTTGGGATTTTGCTTCTGACATCTGTGAAATAGTCTAGGATAGGGAGAGAGTGTATTTACTCATTTTGAAATATTTGCTTTATAACGTTTGTTCGTTTCTGTAGCTAGATCTTACGAAGCTGCTTTTGGGTTGTAGCATCACCAACCTTCACGGAAGTAAAAGCTTCAAATTGGTTAAAAACTCTGTTGAAACTAAGATTCACTGTAGTGATCTTGAGGTTTGTTAATTGTAGCAGACCCTCTGAACAAGCCCAACTGAATTTCAGGTCTAAAATGATACTTGAAAGCAAGTTTGCATTTTATAATCTAAGACTTAGTGTGAGTATTCATACAGCTCCTTTGTCTTGACAAGTAAGACATGGTCATTCTGATCCTCTTCCAAACACTTCAAACAATTGCTACAAGTTCAAAACAAATAGAATTGCTCCACTGGGCAGTTAGGAAAAGGATGATGGTGTAATTCGGGTGGTTCTTTCCTCTCTGGAGATCTTTCATTGCTTCCAAGTGAGAAATGAACAGTGGAGGAATTTTGCTTTACTAACTCCTCAAATGTTTTCTACATTTTAAAGCAACCATTTTGACCCTGTTGCCAGGTTTCATTGATGAAGAGAGTCCATCTGGGACTTGGCTTTACATTTAGGCTTAGATTTGAAGTACATTGGCAGGCATGTGTTACACATTAGCAGGGATATAGGGCAGGACTGAAGAATATTAAACTGGGGAAATTTCCTAGCACTGGTATAGTTGTGGCTTTTTTCCCCACAGAATAGGAGTAAGGGCCTAAGCATGGAAAAGGTTGTGTTCTGTTCTCTGTTGAACCTTGCTGTTATCAGGCATGTCACTGTCACACACTGATTAGCAGCAAAATCCTCAAACTCTTAAGGCGTTACAGCAGTTCACAAAATGAGAGGCCGCATCTCCTGTAGCATGAGAAACCCATGAGCACAAAAGCCCAGCATCCTGCATCCAAGTTTGTATTGATTCTGAAGCTAATTTTCCATTAAATTCATTGTTGTGCACAGACAGATGCAGTTTTCCTGGACTCCTTTGGGTCTTTTGGTCCCACGAATAGATAGGTTTTCATCTAACCTGAAAGCTCCTAACACAAGAGGATTTGTATTGCATGTTTGTGTTCTCGTGGGCACTAGGACCAGTGTACCAGAATCCCAGTAGAAACTCTGAAAACACTAGAATTCCTCTAGATGGTTTGAAAGCATTAGAATGTGGCCTCAGAGACAGAACATGCACAGTCACTGGTGCTGTCTCGGTGTGCTGCGGGGTCAATGTAGCTGTAGTTAACTGCAGCAGGACCCACTGCCTTGCCCTCAGCACTTCCTTGGTGAGCACTGAGGACATGTTACTGTAGCAGAACACAGCAGCAGTGCCAGAAGTGCCTGAAGCAGCTTCTGGGGGATGGTGGTAATGAACTGCTGTGTGAACTTACAGTATCTTAAGTGTCCCAAGTACTCACACAGCTCTGCGATGTTTGCTAAAACACCATCCTTTTAGGAGCAGACCCAGTTTGCCAACAACAGCAAGGGAAACGATTACCTTTGAACATTCTGCATCTTAAAATTTCAGAGCTGGCTATCTATTAACCACTGTTGGAGCATCTCTGCTGTCCTAAGACAGAGGCCTTGCCTTGAGAGGTAAACTGAGTCTATTTTTCAGTAATGTTGAAACTGATAGAATTGGTGTAACTTGTTAGAAGAGGAGTCTTGTCAAAACATAATCTGACAGGGTTTCAAGCACAACAGGCGCTAACTCAATGGAGCCAATGTGACTGGAAGACGTATTGTTTCAGCTATCCCAGTGGGAAAACTTTCACTATTTCTCCCTGTAGTCATAGCATAGACGATGGTATCTTTTATTTACAGAACATATGTTTCATCTGGCAGTGGGGAAATGGGCTGCAACTCCAACATAGAATCATAGAATAGTTAGGGTTGGAAAGGACCTTAAGATCAAGTTCCAACACCCCTGCCATGGGCAGGGACACCTCACACTAAACCGTATCACCCAAGGCCTCGTGTCTGAAAGGGAAGATTGCAAGGCAAGGAGTCACACTGTGTTGTGCATAGTTTCATCCCATTGCATAGTTACTCATTTCCTCAATTGCCCTGGAAGTCCATGAGTAACTCAATCTTTTTGTGAGCTATAGGGACATATTTCATCCAAGCTCTACATTAAACAGTGCAGATGCAGAAATTAACAGTTGGTGTACTCAAAGCCAGAACTAATTTATAGACTTTGGAAATTATTTCCTGCCTTCTGGATTTTATATGCAAGAGCAGTGTTGCTGGGAGAGGCAGCCAGGGCTAGTCTCTCTCCATCCAGATGAGAAAGTATTCTGTGTGTAAGGCTCTAGATTACAAAATCCTGTTCTTCAGGATCTTGGGTTTTGGTGATAGCAGAGCTTGGATTAGGTGACATTCAGACTGTGTTTGGGGCAGATGTACAGCCAAGACCAGAATTCAGCACGTTTTTACAAGCTGCTTTCCACTATGGATTGATGAAAGCATCATCCATGCAAACTGGTTATGGAAGAGTTCCATTGTCTTGGGTCAGATCAGATCAGCCAGATCTATCTACAAAAGGTGTTCAAGTTGGAGCTTATGTTTGAGAGGGTGCATTCAGCTTTGTTCTGGATCTTGGTCTCAACACCCCTGAAATTCAAGAGCATTTTAATGTGTGGTGTTTGTAGAGGATTTTAAATGCTTTTGAAGAATACAAGATACACAGTGGAGCAGCATGTGGAGTTTGCTAGAGGAGGCAACAGAGCTGGGACAGGCTTTGGCATCCCTTTTCCTCCCTTACTTATGTTACAGTCTCCTCAGGTGTGTTTTGGGGTACATGAGCAGGAGGCTCCCAGAATCTTTCTAAGAGTTGGTGCATAACTTACACACCTTTAGCTCAAACATAGTGGACACTGTGATGTTGATTGTGATTGGATTTTTCCATTTTCGTCCAGTCCTACTTTCTTTTTAATCTTTAGCTTCTCTGATTTAGTAGCAACAAGAGAAATCCCCAAACGCACAAGAGGCTCAAAGGGCTTTTGCATGTCTTTGGCCTCTGCATGAAGTGATGCTCAGAGGAAGGCATCACTCGATGAAAATGGAGTTGCTTGCTATGGCAGTTTATGGATGGCCCTTCTTAAAAAGAAAAGAGACCTTTCTATCACCAGCAGTCTACTCTCAAGCAGATGTGTGCTCTGAAACACAGGGTGACGCCAGGAAGAGCAAGGGAGACCCACAGCTTTGTGTGCTTTTTTTTTTTCTGATGCACATGGTATGTAGTGAGAGCATGGACTCCAGACCTCTTGGGAGTTTTCTCTTCTGCTAGTAATTGAGTACGTTCCTCTGTGCTCTCCCCTCTCCGGAAGGGATTTCTGGACCTGTTTGTCTTGGCTGTTGCTCTGGCTTGCACTAGTGAAAGCTCCATTTCCTGAATACCAAGGTCACCCAGAAGAAAACCCAGCAACACCGACAGCAGCAGCTCCCATTTCAGAGCAGGTGTGGGGAGGGAACTCCCTCTTGCCCTAAAGATTTCATTGAGTAATAATTTCCACATCAAGTATATTTACTATCCCAGCCTTTTGCTTCCAGAACTGGCTAAGCCTGTTTTTAACCCAGACAGTTTCAAGATGTTCAGGTTTTCTCATCCTGCCCTGAGTGTTTGCTTGGTTTCATCATCAGCCTGGTTGAGGTGATGGGTTAAAAGCAAGCACACCAGCTAGCTGCACCATGCTCCCGTGTGAAAGTATCTTCTGATGTGAGAAAGAAATTCAGATCTGTTATCAATGAAATGAACCCCTGAAGCCAGAGGAATACATTTACATGTGATTGCTGACTGCTTCAAATCATGAGCACCATGGTGATGTTGTGGAGTCAGTGTGTAAGACAGCAGACCTAGAAGCTACATACTGGATAGGCGGCATCTCACTGCTGTCTCAGACCCAGCCAGTCAGTATGTTAAGAGGGATCTCTAAAGGTGAAGATCTCGTGTTTCAGAGGTGGTATATTTGCAGATAAAGTGAATGCCACCATGGCCACTATTCAGATACCTTGGGAATTGTACTTCCAAATTTGTGTATTTGAAGAGACAGACAATTCAGCTGCAGATGTCCTAACAGTAAATTAGATGACAACTCCGTGCAAACTCTTTAGCTACTTCAGATGTTAGGTAAGCCCAGCAGCACTAAGAACAGCAGCTCATATTTCAAAACAGATGTAGAGAAGGAGAACCTCCAAAGGTGTTTCTGACAGATAATTTCTGTGTCAAGAATGTTTCCTAACCCAGCCCCATGCTCCCACAGTTGGCCTGAGCCAGTTTTCTCAAAACAATGATTAGCTTATTTAGTCTGCTCACTGTAGTCTCTTATCTTGGTCTTCTGGTTTGTTCTCTTGTACCTCCATAGAAGGAAAAATGTGTGTTTTGGCTTGCCTGGGGTTTTGAGCTTGGTTTCCTAAGGAAACAAGAATAATGTAATTGTGTTTATGTGTGTGCACATCATGTTTCAAAATACTTTAGAGCCCATTGGCTAATTTTAACCGCATTTGACAGCAGGGTAACGGTCTTAAAAATGTTCTGTTTGTACAGATTACATGAAAATAAATGACCAGCAGAAGAGACAAACCCTCTCTCTGTCCCTGTTTAGTAGAAAGGTTTAGTGGAAGTCCAGCCCTTGGCAGACTCTTACTATTATTCACCTGCATAGGAATTTATTCTGCCTGCAGTGAGTGGGGTAATACTGTCATCTTAGGGAAGTACCATTTTAGGTAGAAATTACTTCAGAGCATGTTTTTTCTTATCTGTAAAATACAGGGTGCACTGCTCATTTGTTTCCTGAGCTGTGCAGGATTTAATGATGTCTTTCCCAGATGAGCTACTCCAAAAGCTAATATCCTTAGGGGGAGGTTAGCAGCATGCCAGGCCGTGGCTGGCATGCTGTCCCTGCAGAGAGCCTCTCAGGTAATGCAGTTGTATAGCAAAAGCAGCCAAAGCTGAACACAGTTATTGCCCTTATAAAATAGGGGTTGACCAGAAAATGCTTCTTCGTACCTGAACAAAACCAAACTGAGTCCCACCACTTCCTGCCAGCCATGAATAACCCCACTGCTTGGTGGCAGCATTATTACAGCTGCTGGACGAAGCAGAGAGTCTAACTGAACTTGTCCTGGGTGGATGGGTTTATGAACAGGCTGGGCTGGAGTTCGTGGTTTTGGAAGTATTTGTTATCACTGTCTTTGTGCTTCCTCTCCCTCTTTACACAATATCCCCTGTGTTTGAGAGGGCCCCTCCTGCTGGAGGGTGGAGTAGTACGTTGCGGGACGGGCAGGGCGGCTTTTGATCTTCCCTTGATCTTTAACCCAGTGCTTCAGGCCCTGCATATAGAACAGATTTTGAGAATGGAGCTGTGGTGAGTAAGCAAGGCAGTAGCATTTCCTTCCCTGAAGAGAGAACAAGTTGGCAAGGAAGCAGACATTGATTGAAATGTGGGGAGGTTATGATTTCTTCCTAGCCATGGAGAAGGGAGCTGTGGAGAGCCCTGCTGCTTGGCCTCTCCCAGAGCAAACACTTAACTTTAGACTGTCCAAGGACTGTCTCTTTTGCCTTCTGGAAAGCCTACCAGCACATATACCCTGTCTGTTCTGCACTTTATGCTGCCAGTTAGTCTTCTAGGTTGGAAGTGGGAGCCTTTTAGTACTGTGCAGTACTGTGCAGAGGGAGCCCTTGGGGTGGGTGGTTCACTCCTGACACATCACTGGTAGGTCTGAGGGCAGGAAGCCAAGGATATTCTGTGCTTTGGAGAGTGACTTGTTAGTGACTTGTTAGTCACTCATTACTCCTGCGTTATGAAGTTCCCATTTCTCCCTCCAGAGGAGCAATAAACAACATGATCTTCTCATGCAGTGAAAAGCCCAGCTTAATGGTACAAAAAGCGCAGTCAGCTGAATCTTTAAAAAAGCTAATTCTCATATCGGAGTATTTTATCACTGTGTTATCCTGTGAGGAAGCCTCGTTGCAATCAGGACAGTAGATTGTGTTGCTCTTGTTCAGGCAATTCATGGTACAACAAACTATTGTTCCACCCTGTAGTGCTCGGGCATTCTAATACGTTCTTGTATCCAGGAGAGAATGATTCAGAGAGCGAGACCTCTTGGGTCAGGAACAAGTTAGTAACAGATTGCTTTGAAAGTAACCTTTTGGCCTGGCAATAAGTACCAAGTGCATCCTGCCAGTGGGAACAGGGTATTCGTCATCTTTCTGTTGTTCAAGCTGTTAGACCATGCAGTCATCTAGGTCCAGAGAGTCTTGTTTGTTTAGTTGTATCTCTGTAGCATGAGTACACACAAGGCCTCATTGTGCAATACAAAAGCAACTCTCTGGATACAATGGGCTGGGACAGTGCTGTTTGAGATGTCAAAGTTGGTAACTGCACAGTTTCCTTCTTCAGAATGGTTATTGTTCTGTGGTTTTATTGCAGGTGGTAACCTTTGATGCAGGAGGAGTGAGTGGTCATGCAAACCACATTTCTCTTTACACGGCTTTAAGGTACAGTGTTCTGCGCGCTTTACTGAATGCCTCGCTATAGTGTTACAAAGTGAACATGGTGTTTGGGTGTAAGCAGAAAGTTAATAGCTACAGCTAAAAGCAGTATGAAGTTCACTGATACAACTGAGTGGCAGGCTAGGGGACATGATACTACTTGGAGAAACTCTCACAGCTCTGCAGATGACCTACAGCATCCTTTATTATTCCATCTGCTGGTGCTTTGCCAGTCTCCCTTTCACTGGGCCCTCTTTGCTCTTCCTGTCCTTGATCCCACTAAAATATGCCACAGATCACATTGCACTTCTGGTTTGAGGAGACTGTGTGAATATCTGATGCCTGAGCTGGTGGTACTTGGATTTTGGGAAGTTCTACACCGTTGTTCCAGAGGATGTTGCCATCTTGTGCAGGTACCTGAATTTACCTCTCTGACCCAAGGATGTTGATCCTTCACTGAAGCATGTCTCTATTTACCACTCTTCCTAAGTCAGTTCATTCCTTCACCACTTTATTTGTTACATTCTGAGAACGTGTGTCCCTGTGCTGTGACTGGAAGGCTACTAGACAAAAATACCTTGTATTAAGATCACCCAAATTTTGTAGAAAAGACAGCTACTGTGTTTTATTTTAACCCTGTGCTCATTTAGACCTCATTGTGTCGTAGAGAGATCTCCTCCAGAGCTGCCCCTGCCTTTCCCAGGCATGAGAAGAACTCTTTGCAAGTATATCTTATATTTTTAGCACCCATTTGTTTTCTGAATCATCTGTGCAATTCCAATAATTTTCTGGCTCTCCTTGCTAACAGCATCACAAAGATTTGCCTTTCCTGCTTGCCTAGAGAAAGCTACAGTGCCACGGAACCCATACTCTGACCTACAGAGCTGCTCTGGGAAGATGCTGAAAGTCTTTGATGCTATCTGAGGGCTGGAATTCAGTGTTAGAGGGGTTCATGGCTTTTCCCAGCAACTTCTGAAATAGCCTCACAGAAGGCAAAGGGGTGGAGTTAAAGCAAACTGTGCTTGTTTGAGCTAAGCAGAGAGATGCTTTCCAGCACAATGTTATTTGAGGAGTGAGGAACGGAGGTTGATGACCGATGCTCACCCCACTGGCACAGAGGAACCAGAGAGCTTTCAGATGCCTGGACTTCTGCTCAGTCAACTGCTGTATGCCCTGCAAATAGGAATGGAGGGTGGATTGTTAGGTGTCACTCTAAAGCCCTCTAATACAGGGAAAACAAGCTAGCAGCTGAATTATGTATGAGAAAGTTAAGGAAAACTCTCCATTTTGATCACAGCTCTACTGTTTTCTCATTTTGTGGCTGTGCAGAACTCGCTTTCCCACCTCACGCTGTAGGTCGCCTGTGTGTGCTCTAGGATGGTAAACCTCTTCTCAGAGTATGTTACTAGGAAGTATTCATTACCTGCAAGCCCCTTGAACTCAAACCTTTGCATTATTCCATAGCCTCCAGCAGAACATTGTCCTGGGTTGATGAAATACATGCTGATAGAGACACCAAAGTCTAAGCAGGGTCTCATTAGCTAAGGGCTGGTTTGTGTCTTGTTTCTATCCCAGTCCTGAATCAGCAGAAATAAGCATGGTGGCCCAGTCATCTACATGTGGCAGGAGTGATGCTGTGGCCACTGGAAGGTTAAATTTATTTTTAGTGGCTTGCTTGCCCTCATTATTTTTCAGTTTGTGCTCTGGAGGAAGTAGAGCGTGACTGCATCACTCCTGATTTCCAGTGCCCTGATGAGTTCTCACATATTGGCCAGTACAGGCAGTGAGTGCTGGGAGCATATGCTGAGGCACCCCACATCCCTCCCTGCCAGCAGGGCTTTGCCAAGCAGTGGTTGCTGCCTCTGGGGCCCCACTGCTACATGGCAAGAAAAAAGCAAATGAACTCTTGCCTCCAGGTACTGTGTGCAATCTACTAGTAACCATCTTTAAAAAGATCTGCAGGGTTCTGCCTCCACTGTGGCTGTAAGTGGAAAGAATGAAGCAGAGGGCTGGTGCAGTGATCCTCAGCTCTTCTGGATGCTCGTAATCAGTGAGAGATACACTTGTGCCCGCTACCTAAGTGATTGCTGTCTGCAAGAGCAGGGGTAGGACAGGCTCTGTGACCCGTCCCACAGCTCCTTGCTTCAGCAGGTTCAAATTACTGAACAGCTTCAAGGAACAGAACAGTTCAGCCAATGGTCATAGCTGAGCAGATGCTCAGCATTATCTGCTAAAGGCATAAGTGTTCTTTCTAGTGTCTGGAACAGAGGTTATATTCAAAGGAGCAGGAACCATTCAGAACAAATGTGCCCTTTCCCTTGCAGCAACCTTCCTCCTGACAGCTTGCAGGGAGTCCAGCTGCTGCTGTGTGTCTGGGCTTCAGATCTGGGATGAACTGTGAAATGCCAGGGTCTGAGGTTGGTTTTTCCTTCTGCAAGGGACAAATAAGAAAAAAACAGGATGGGAGAAGAGCACAAATTGCTGTTTGATTTCAGTCTCTGCTGGGAGTGTTTCAGTTCTGGCTTCCAGATGGGGAAAAAAAAACAAAATCCCAAACCCAAGAAAATCCTGTTATAGAAAATAATTGGAAGCAATCCTCTCTAGCTCTGCTTATTTCCTTGTCACCTTGATTTGGCAGCATCATTCTCTCCTATCCTCCAAAAGGCCAAGGGAGGCTGCATCCTTTACATGTGTCTACAAGTAAGAGCAGGTCTTGAGTGACATCAAGGTCACTTTACTCCCCTCTCAGCACTTGGCCAATCAGTGGGCACTACAGCAATAAGCATGGTAAAACACTACGTGACAGGAATATTTGAGAACCTCTTTCCCGCACTTTGAAATGACAGTGTTTGCACAGAGATCACATGTAATATCTAGGTGGTTTAGTTTTGAATGAGTCATTGTGCATTTTTGATTTTAAACAAGCCCTCTCCCAGTAGCCTGGCAAATGAGGGGCTAGTTTTGTTGTTTGCTTGCTTGCCTAGGGTGGAGAGGAATGGTCTTTGTGAGGGGGAGGAAGGATTGTACCACTTCTTTTCTTCAGTGAGTTATCAAATCCATTTCATCCCAGCTAGAACAGAAAAGAATAGTCCTTGTCTGCTTAGGGCAGAGCAAACTGAGTGGAAAATAGGAGCTGCTATATTTAACCACTGTGCATTATGTTGTTATAGCAACTGCATCCATAAAACTTATATCAATGATGCCATATAAAAAGGCTACATCAAAGACTCATTAGCTGAGCCTGTTCTCAATTCCATTTGGAAAAACACTTCTCAGTCCTGCAGGATGTTTGTTAACATTCACCAACTCAGTGGCAGGTTGTAAATGAGACTGTGCAGAGATAATATTTGGGAGCTTAGTGCTTTATCACCCTTGAGCTGATTATGATGCAGCTGGAGTGCCACCAATGCCTTGTTGCACTTACCTGTCACAGCCTGACTACTGAATGCCCCATTTATGAATGCCATGGGATGTGGCACGGAGCAGAAGGGGTGCACTGAGGCTCCCTGGAAGGGGAGGATTGATTAAATGCTGTTTTCAAAGACGTATATTGGAACAACAAACAGTGCATTGTCCAGCCCAATCCCACCAACTCTGTGGGTAGAGTTCTCAAAAGCCACCAGCTGCATTACATCCCAACAAAGCACAGTTCTTGTGTTGAATTTCCAAGGCCAGGTCTTTAACAATGTGTTGAGGAAGCTGGTTTTGGGGTGACTAGCAGTGAATGGTGTCCCATCTCCCATTTTTATTTGATGCCTTCTTACAGTGTGAGGCTAGAATGGGTCTCTGATCTCTCACTCCAGCAGCTGTAGCCCATGCATTTCAAATGAATGGTATCTCATTTATGTTTTTAAAGTAAGGTGTTGGTTTTATTTCCTTTGCCTTTTCCCAGAAATTATTTCTCTACCTTGGAAAAGGATTTCCCATGTCACTGATGTGTTTGTTCAGGATTGTTTAGCCCCTGCTGAAGTTCTAGGTTCCCTGCAAAGTAGAGAATTGAAGAAATAACAGGGTCCAGTATCTTATGTTTCAGCCTGTCCTGTCACAGTCCAGCTCACTTTTAATACTTTGTTTTACTGATCTTAAATGTCCCAGGGGGAACTGAGGAGTGGTGGCTGTGATTGCACCCAAACTGCCCCTATAAGGCCAAGACAGAAGAGTCCTCCTCCATTTACCCTTTGAGATTCTGTCCCTTCTCCTCAGAGAATTGCTCCATGCCTGGCACACATCCAATAGCTGGGTATGTTGTCTTGGATTTTACCTCATTACTTCACCCCTGCTCTCTCCTTTCCTTAACTTGATGAAGTTCATTCAGTACCCTTCTATCATACTGTAGGGAGCCGTTAGGATAAAGTTGAGCACAGGGCACCATCATCGGAGGGATTCCCCCCAAAGAATTTTTGTGCCCCAAATAAACAGCCTCAAGGAATGTCCTTCCCATCCTCACTAGGCTACTAGTGGAGCAGTGGCACTGCATCTTCTCCCAGGCATTGCAGGGACCAAAGCAGAGAGCCACAGAGCAGCTCTGTCAACTGGAAGATCTCTGAATCACCACCTTCCTTTCTGACTGGCAGAACCATCTTTAGCCACTGCAATACACGTGAGTACAGGGTGCCTGAATACTGTTTTACAAATTGCATGTTGCTACATAGAGGAGTTCAGGGTGCATGGAAATGGAGCCCGAAAGTCCGGTTAGGGAGGGAGGAGATGTTCCAGATAGCAAACATTCAACATCTGGCAAGTATATCCTTCTAATGTCTCTGTGATTCCTGGGAGACTGACTGTTCTTCCTCCTTCACATCTGTTTCATCAGATTAATTGGGCTGATTAGAGGTTAGGATCCTAATGGAGCCCCAATGCATCTTTAAGACATCCATTCTTTGCCATGCTCTTCAGAATTGTATTTCCCCAGTGCTCTGCAGCAGCCAGCTCAGTCAGTTCAGTGAAGGGTTTTGCCTTTGGCCAGGGGATACTATTTGGAGAGTGAAGTCATTGATTTCAGTGAATAACTTCTCACCAAACAGAACATCACCAAAACTATAATCCACCCACCAGGGCGTCAGTCCCCCTCCTTCTCTTCCCCAGAGGAGTTCGGTGTTCCTCAGGACTGAATTTTCAGCTCCATCTTGACTTGTTCTTTCGTACCATTGTGGGATGGTACCAGTGGTCAGTGCCTTTTAGGAACTTGCCCACTCTGCTGACATCTTCCCTTAAGAATGACTGAGTAAAGACAGGGAATTTGGGAGCTAGCCCACTTCTGCAGTTTGCAGGATGAGGATTGTTGGGCCATTTCAATTTTTCTCCTGAGCAGATGTAGCCACTGGCTGCAGACAGCAAAAGCTTTTAAAGCAGCTGGTCCCTGAAGGAGGAGCTGGTGCTGAGTCCTTGCAGTGCAGAAATAGTGGGTGCCTTCAGACATCTCACAGCCTTTTGAAGCTCTTCATTGCAGAGGGTCTCGCGTTCCTTCAAATGTAGATCTGAACCTACCACAGGCATAATAAAGAGTGTCCAGTGAGAGGTACCCTGTAATAGCTGGCCTCTGGCACTTGGTGGGTAGGTGGGAGCAAGCCACTTGGATCACTTCATGTTTAAAAAGAATTTATAAAAAGTCTTCCCAGAAAAAAAAACATCAAAAAACAACAAAACCGCATGGAAATAGCTCCTGAAAAAGAGCCTGTTTGTGTTTGACTTTGAGATTTGATGCCAAACTCTTTCATTTCACCCAAACCACAGCAAGTCCAATCTATAAAACAACATTCCCAAAATGGCAACAACAAAGAGCTGCAACCTCTCCCCTACTTGGAAGTGTCCAACAGAGACGGCTCCAGCAGGGTGGAGAGGGGAGATGAAGATTGATTTGGGAGAGCATTAGCCAGTTTTATGAACGTGTGCAGGAGGTAGAGTTTTGTGTTCCTTTCGCTCTCTGCAGCCACAGTTCATTGCCATCCCTTGCCTGAGCAATACAACAAGCAAGGCTGCAATTCCTCTGGAGCATTTCAGCTGGGTGGAGTCCATTCCCATAGCTCTGTGCTTATCCTTGCCAAGTACTGAAGCGCTTGGCTCAGGACAAAAAACCATGAGGAAAGAATCAGTTTCCTTATATCTGCTCTTCCAGATCAGTGACAGGTCTGCCTGGTAACAGCCTTGAGCACCTTTCAGTAACCAGTTTGTGTCTCCCTGAACCTTTATACAAGCACAAACTCCTGAATTTGCTCCTGCATCAAACTTCCCTGCTGAAGATGCTCTCTGCTCCTGGTGAAACATTTCCATATGGATCTCTCCTTGCTTCTGGTTCTAGTGGCCAGGAATGGTTATTATTAGCTCACTCGAGCAGCTCTTCACATCCTCTAATTTGCTGTCGGTGCTTTGAAGGTTCCTCTATGGCACAGCAGCACGCCCAGCATAGACACTAGGGCTTGGATAGTTGGCCACATTTCACAACCACTCACTGCTTTATCTCTCCAAGCTTGTTTTAAAAACTTCCCACCCTGCTAGCTGTACCAAGTGCTGAATCACTTCTTTGGGTGGCCAAATTGAAGTTGTGGGGGAAGAAACTTCTGGCAGAAGAGCAGAGCAGACATTAATGGAAACACTTAGACTTTCCTCCCCTCCTCCACCACCCCTGAAAAAATTGCTGGTAATGTTTACAAGGCAACATTTAACAGTCTTTGACAGAACAGTAGGACTTGAGTAGTGGGGTAGAAGGTGGCCAAGTCAGTATTATAAGGCCATTGTTTAGTAAAAAGGGTATTGCTTGCAGATCTTTGGCTCTGGAGAAGAAGAGACCATTGGCAGGAGAAGAATCTATTTAAGGCATATGTCTTCTGATGGCTGTTTGAGTTCAGCCATGACCCATGTTTCTGGCTTGACTTTTGCTTTGAATTGCTTTGAGTATTCATTACTCTGTGCTTCCTATTTTGTCTACACCTGTGTAGCTAATCCTTTTCCTTGAACTTAACCAATAGCCAGAGATAATCCCAGTTTGAAAGTGACTGAGAAACAACAGTTTACATATAATGTATGTTTTATCCTAGTTGATTTACACATGAGCTGTCACATTGCCCCTCGTTAAATACACCCCTATGAGATGATAACAATCTCTTTAAATATTACACAGGGTTAAATAACTTTTCTTTTTTTTATTTTCTTTCTCCTTTTGGCAAATGTTCCATTGTTTGGATGTTTTTCTCTACGGAAGAGCTGGCCGGGGTGTGGGACAGCTCTGAGTGCCACCTGCTGGACACCGGCTTCCTCCCATCCCCACCATGGGCCAGATCTGGAGGCGATGCAAATAGTGATGTGAGCTTAAGTGTCCAAAGCCATGAACCACAGTCTAGAGCAGGAAAAACATGAGAATTAAAAAGGAATTGAAGCTAATACCTCTAATGCCTTCACCATATCAGGACCATTTCCTTACACTTCTTGGTGGAAGTACCATCACTGCTCACGTCTCCTGCACTGGTCCTCTCATTCTCTTTCCAAGGGATGCATTTTTGCTACAAAGACTTTATAGAATCATAGAGTGGTTTGAATTGGAAGGCACCCTAAAACTTGTCCAGTTCCAACCCTCTGCCATGGGCAGGGACACTTTCCACTGGACTAGGTTGTTCTAAGCCCCTGTGTCCAACCTGGCCTTGAACACTGCCAAGGATGGGGCAGCCACAGCTTCTCTGGGCACCCTGTGCCAGTGCCTCACCATCCTCACAGGGAAGAACTTCTGCCTAAGAGCTCATCTCAGTCTCCCCTCTGTCAGTCTAAAACCATTACCCCTTGGTTGCTCACTACATGCCCTTGTAAAAAGACCCTCTCCAGGACAAAGTCTTTGAAAGGATCAAAGTCTTCGTGAGCTAAAGGTCAGAGCAGCTTCTCCAATGACCCAGTGCCAGCAAGGGTTAGAAAGAAAGAAGCTGGTCCCCAAACAGGAGCTGCAGCTGAGGCAGTGTCCCTGGTCAGCAGACACAAGGCTTTGAAGAGCCTTGCCAAGGTGGCAACCTTTGGCAGCCTCTTGCAGTTTCCCGTAGTGCAACATGAGAAGTTTGGGAGTGAGCTGGATTTATGGAGCTTGTTTGTGCTCAGTCCCAGCAGCCAGGGTAAGGAAAGTAATGGCAGAATTGTGTGAGGGATGAGGCTTACGTTGCCTGACATGTGCATTCAGTGTCAGCTCCTGAACTTTCCAATAAGATTAGCTGTTGTAAATGTGTGTGTGTTACTAAGAGAAAAGGGCTGGTTTACCATACAGAGTAAACTCAGGATCTGAATGACCTTACTGAGTGTTTACCCCCATGTATCTTCATTCACAGGTACCTGCATTCGGAGCAGAAGTTACCTGAAGGTATGTGACATTGCTTCATGCCTGCAGGCTCTTGGATGTGTAATCCTTTACATGAATGTTCTGTCCAGGCTTTCATCTGCCTAACTCACATCTATTTGCAATACAAATGAAACCTTCAGCTGAACTCTTCCTTGCCCTTTTATCTGCCTGCAGTTTTTCACCAGCTCAGGCTTTTCTGCAGTCACTTTTCCGTCCTTTGGGGTTGTCCTGTCCCTGCCTCTTGTTGTCTTGCATGCTCATGAGTGCTGTTTCCAGGTCTCTCAGCTCAGTCCCAGAGGTTTCTCATGGGGGCTTTTGTGTATGTGTGTTACAAGGGCCTCAGAAATCATTACCAGCTCAGCCCAGAATGGTTGCATGTACCAAGCTAAGCTACCATCAAAATGTAGTCAGTATGAGAAAGGTACCTGAAGTCTTCATTGGCACAACAGATTGTTGGAGTGGCTTCTCTCATGTGTAAACCAGCAAGTATGTCTGAGAAACTGCACAAGTAGCGAAAAGAAAGAAGCAAAGTACAGAAGCAGGTTGCTCCCATCCCCCTTTTCTGGCTGCTGTCTCTGAGCAGATCTGCAGCCCTTATCTCTAGCAAACAGTGCCTGACTCAGGGACAAATTTGTGGAACTAGTTTAAGCACAAAGCTGGCAGCTGTTTGGACAGCATAGGAAGGTGGCTCAACCAGGCCCACCCAGTCAACCTCCTGCTCCCTCAGCAGTCATCCAGGCTGTGATTCTTTACTGCTAATTCCTGAATCATTATAGGATTTGAATGTGCCACAGCAAATCAATTTTAATGCCCTGCTAGCAGCAAATTGCACACTCAGGTTTGATGGAGAGAGTGTAAGCCAAGATGGCAGAGTGCCCTTTAACTGGGTTCTGAGTCCAGCCTCTTCAATTCTCCCCATCTATGAAAGAGGAATATTAATGTCAGCTTCTTTCCTAGGACCTTTCCTTTATTCAGCTTTGGGATGCAGGAAAGAGCTCTGTGTATGCTGTGTGCAGTACAGCGAAAGAATAAGGAACTGCAGTGGTAGATGACACTGCTAGATGTCAGGCCTTGTCTAGACTGAACCACCTTCATATGCTGTTCATGCAGGTTTGTTAGATAAACTGTGGTCCAGAATATGGGCTGTGCCTCAGATTGGTTTATAGACATTTCCCTTTCTCTAGCAGCTTCAAGAGACTCCTGAAGCTATGTGAAAGCTTTGCTGCTCTGATTACATCACATCTGACATGACCTACAAATGCCAAAGGAACGGGGAGCTCCCATGCTGCTGCTTACACTAAGCCTTTCCAAATATAGTTCCAGTCTCATTGAAATTCCCAGTATTTATAATTCGATCTGGCAGGCATGCAGGGCTGTGCATCCGAGGGGTTTAATGAAACAAGAGTGATGCTGGGATTGAGGCTACCTGGATAGAGCTGAAAGCCGTGTTCAGGCCATGGAAATGTGCTGCTTTCCTGTTAGGAAGAGGGAATTGTTTGTGGGTGAGCTTGTGTAAGCCCACGTGATCAGGGAATCCACAAAAAATCTCCCTGCAAATGCAAAAGCCAGCTAAGCCTTGCACTGCCTCAGTGATATGCAGATGAGCACCCTAAATATCCTGCTTTGCTTTCTAATGCCTTTAGCCAGCATAAACACAACAGGCTTTTTATAATCTGCAATCAAGTTCTCCAGACCAGGCACAAGCACAGAGGCTTGTTTTAAGACGCTGGACAGCTGCTGGTGTGCATCCACCCCTGCTACTGGCCCCATCCAGCTACAACCAGTGCTCTTCCAAAAGAATAGGTGTGTTAACGTCTGTCAGGAGCAGGGCAAGCTTTTAGCACCCACAGATCTGCTACTGATCTTCTCATTCTAGGCATGCTTGCTGCATAAGGGATTTGGAAGTAGAAAACCAAGCTGAACAGGCTGCAGGCTCTGTGCTCTTCTATTCTGGGCCTAATCCACTAGCTATATTGATCTTGCTCTTTCTGCCAAGCTAGAGAGGTTGTATTACACTGTTAATCCCATCCTGCCCAGGTCACAGTCACAACAGGCTCTGAGAAGCTTCACCTGCTGGTGTCAAAGGACTAGACTCATCAATGGCAGCACTTCTCTTACCCTGCCTGGCAGGGAGCAGCCTGCTTCTCTGAACCCTTTTCCATCTCTCCCTGGACTGTACATTCCTTCCTTGCTTCATTTCATCTCATGTTCCCGTGTGGAGCAGCCTTTCTGTCAGCATATGGAGATCCTTGTCATATCACTGACACAGAACACTCTTACAGTGCCCTTCACTTTGTGAGGCTGGAATGCTATTGCTTCACCTGAGCTGACTGATGGGGCTCAGGAGGTCGGACTGAACAATGAAATCACCTGCAGGTTTTTTTTAGCCATTATTGCTGAGCCAGGCTCCATTAACAGTTGCCCCATGCTTGCTCTAGCTGTGTCCTCTCCAGTAAGCACTAAAAAGCAAACAGGTGGATAGTGGGAATGCTGACTGCAAGAGGAAGGGATCTGTATCTATTCCGCTTCTGTGCCATAGTGTAGTACCTTGATAATTCTCTCTGAAACTACCCACCAAAATACTGGGCCTGCTGAGCAGCACAGGGGATCTCTGCAGAGGAGGGAAGAGTGGTTCCTCTGCTCCTAGCATATCACAAGCTTGCTTCTGAGTTTTCTACTTGGGAATAAGAAACATCTTTAGTGGGATTAATAGAGCTGTCTGGACACTTTGTGTTCAACTGCAATGCTTGTCACTGCAGAGCATCCTCTGCAATAGCAAGATGAAACCTTAGGGCAGCTAGACAGCAACTGCTCGTCTGTCACTTGTCAAGGAGGACCATGAGCAAGATGGGAGCTCAGGCTCACAGTCAGGAAGTGGCACAGGCCATGCTAGTCACACAGCTGCCAGCATTCCTGCACGTCCCCTGAGAGACTCCAGGGAGCTTGGCAGAGCCATCGCTCCTTCCAGATGGCACCGCACAGCTGCTGCTCTGCGTGGACGGGCACCATGACCTTGCAAGGGTTGGATGGCTGACCTGCAGTAGGACACGATACTGACATGTGTAAGACAGGAGGGTCTTCAACGTAGAGGGGTGCCAAAAGGGATCTCGGCCTGATCCCAGCCTAGGCAAGTGAAGCGGTTGTGGGTCCTGGCTGCCCCGCTGCTGGCGGACACCGCCATCTCCCGGCAGCTCCTGGCAGGCCGGGCTTGCAGCAAGTCTCCAGCAGATGCAGGAGGGCTTTTCCTCTGCTTCCTGGCACAGCGCACGCTCGTGCCAGAGTTTGGCCGGATGGAAGTGCCAGTGATGTTTGCTTCTGCCCCTGTCCTGGAGACTCTTTTCCCTTAGCAGGACACAAGTCCTGCGTACATATTGGGGCCAAGAGGTGTCTGAGCACCACCAGTTTGCTTTGTGCTTTAGCAATGTTAGATGCGAGCACAGCAGTTAGCTTGTGAGTTCAAAGGGCTCTTTAAAACAAAAAAAAAATTCCACTCACTAGAATCTTTATACATGTTACCTTCATCTGCTTAATCACAGACATTGAACAGTGAGTTCTGGAGCTCTGCTAAAGTGTAACAGCCTAAGTTAATATTTGATACAGCCATTCCTGAATCTTGTGGGTATTTTTGCTGTAGCTAAGTATTGGAGTAAAAAGAGGAATTTTTATTTATTTTTTTTGTGTAGCTGAACCACAAACTGCTGTTTGAAATGCCCATGAGATAAGTGCCAGTACTCAGAGTCAACTCTGCTTTTCCTTTAACTACATAGGAATAATTGAAATTATAAGCAAAACAAAACCAACCAAAAAAAAAAACAAAAAACCCAAACCAACCAAAACCCTCTGGTATTCAAAGCTAGTGTTGTTTTCTGTAGTCAGCAAGTTTCTATACACAGCAAGATCCAGTACAAATGGTCATAGATGTTCCCTTTTGCACAGAAAGGATCCCCATGGCCAGCAGTATAGGGCAGGCTGCAGAGACCTGTTGAGCCTGCAGAGGTGGGCATCTTACAACAATACTGTTGTTTTGAAGTATTTATTCTCTTTTTGTGTCTAGGGTGCCGTGTGCTCGTGCTGGAATCAGTCAGTATCTTCCGGAAGTACATCTCCATCCTGGATGTACCCGTTTCCTACCTCCTGCCCCATGATGCACTCTTCATACTCACAGAGGAGGAGACTGAACAAGCCAAGGTGAGACATGGTACCTGTTTCACACAGCTATCTCACACATTTAGAGCACAGTCCCACATATTGGAATCTGATTAGCTCCCCTTCCATAGCATTAAAGTATTTGCCCAGCAGACAGTCCTGTTAATCCACAAATGACAGAACTTTCCTGCTTTTGAGGCTGCCAAATGATAGAGTTACATATGGAAACTGCTCTGATAAAGGCAGTGTTATTCCCTTGTGGGTTTTGTTTCTGACATGTGACCTTTCTAAGCTGTGTACTATAAATAGATGAAGTTTCAGCTGGCAGTGTATGATCGGAAGCAGCATGCAAAGTGTTCTCAGATGCACACCTATCAGTTTCTGCCTCCCCAGCATGTGAACACCCAGGCGTGAGATCACATAGGGAGGAGGAACTACATGTGACAAAGGAACTGTCACAGCACCGACCTGCAGCTGATAGCAGGACCCCTCTGAACACAAGGCAGCACCACACCAGCAACATAGGGGTGGAGAGGGCTCTCCCCACTCTTTAACCCCATAAAGTAGACAGCTTTCTACTTCCCACTACTTCTTCCCTACTACTCACTGAACACAGGCTGTCCTATAAGCTGGCAGTGAACCTCACAGGAGGCCTGGGAAACTGCCTTCATGTTAGGTCTGGAAGGTTCTTGTAATGCTTTCCCAACTATTCTTCCTTCTAGAGAGCAATGAGGTGTCATCGCAGCCAGCTCCTCTGGTTTCGCCACATCTATATGCTCTTCTCACGTTATATGGTGATCAATTCACTGCGCTTTCTGTGACCAGGACAACTTCAGGAGTGAAAGAATGAGTGAAAAAAAGACCAGACCAGACCTAGGATTAAATCAAGCTCACCTGTGATGTGCTGAAGAGGATGGGATTCTCTTTGTGTAACATTCATTCAGACTACAAAAAACAGACTGTGTAAACTTCCTTCTGAATATCTTGTTACCTGATACATTGAGATAAACAGGGTTTAACAGCTACTCACTGTCGAAGCTTAAATAGAGTAAGAAATTCAGATTAACCTAATACAGGAGTATCCTGCATTAGAGAAGATATGGCACAAACTGTTATTCCCCAGGAGGATACAGCTGTGAGGACTGCTTGGCAACTGTTTCTTCGTGCTTTTGTAAAATCCAGGTATCAGGAGTAACTTTTCAAAGGCCATGCTATCTCCAGAGATTAAACTAGAACCACCAGACGTGTCTTACTCAGACTGAACTTTAAAAAGCCAAATCTTATGAATAAAACATCAGAAATCACACAAATATCTCCAGCTGCACTGATCTTTGCTGCTAATGCTGCTTCTTTTGTACACATTGTGTTGCAGGCTCCACCTTTGCAGTGTCCCTCATGCAACATGAGCATTTATTGCTTCAGAATATGGGGCTCACAGTCAACTCACAAGAGTCTCAATGGACCTAAGAATGATGTGCAAGAGTTACTGTAACTAGGTCTTTTATAGAACAGAGATAAAAATTGCAAGAGATGTTTCAAAAGCTGTTCTACTTACGTAACAGAGAAGCGCAGGAGTTAAGAGATCCTCTCCCTTTATGTTAAAGGTAAGTGAAGCAGCGTTCGGTGGTTTTGTTTCTTAGCCTACTAGTGATTTGGGTTTACATGGGGTCATTGTGGAGCAAAGTCAGCACTACTCAACATTTCTGTAGGGCTTTGCACTCCTTCATGTGGGCTCACGTCTGCAGGAAGCATCTTTCCTGGATCTATGCACCTTGTCATTGCATAGTCAAGATCCAGCCCAAATGGCGAGATCCTGACCTGCTGCTGTGAGCACATCCTCCTCCTGAGATAACAAACTGGTTCCTGGTTGTACTGAAGTACATGCCCATTGTATGACAGTATTGAACTGTTCCCTGGCCATGAGTCAGTGCCTAAGCATATGCCGAGTCAGCCTTAAGACCACAAATAAGGCTAGGCTTAGGCAAAACAGTGCTTAATCACATGAATAACTTCCGTGGCCTCTCTCTTGCATACAGCTAGGTTACCTGTGTAATGCTTTAGTGAACCTGAGCCTGCTAAGCTCTTTCAAATCCCTTTTAGATACATGGTCAATTCATTAAAGTCAAGGGAGAAAAGTCAATGTATGTTAGCATTATGTCCTAAGCAAGAGGTTATCTTACACAGGATGTTTTCATCAGGCAGACTTGAAACACAGGAAAGATCCATACAAGCAAAGATTAGAATTTTTTTCATTGTCTTTTTCTACTCTGTTTATTATGATTTAAACTTCAGCACAGCTAAGGACAAAGTACCAAAACAGCAGCCCTGGGGTTTATGGAAAGGAAGTAGTTTGAAAATTGAAAGCCACAACTGAATGGGACAGGCAGCATAGAAAGATTTATTTAAGAAACAGAGAACAGATAACAGTAATGCAGAAACTGATTTTGCCTCACCCAGGAAAGCCCAGGCTACAGTTCCACAGCAGTGCCCCAACATCAGCTGCTGGAAAAGTGTGTCAGGGTTTTGACATGTCTCTGATGGTCTTGTGTTCCTTCACAGCCTTCTCCCATTCCTTGCCATTGATATCCTCTGTGACAATGGTCTGCACGGTGCCCTCATCCAGACAATGGGGAGCTATTCCTGAAGAAAGAGTACATAGAAACCTGCATCCACATCCTGTGTGGGAGATGCCTGCCCTGCTCTGGATGGGGCTTCTCAGGGAATGCTAAATGCTCAGTCCAGCTATTGCTGTATATCTGAGGAGCCTAGATGGGAAGAAGCCCACACAGCAATAGGTAAGACTTATAGAGGAGCTACAGGTTCAGACTGCAGTTCCGCATGCTTAGTACTTAGTACTCTTAAAACACATGCTGCTCACTGCTGTCATGTTAGCATCCAATGGAGTCTTTACCCAAGGTTTGCTTGATGGTTACTTTTGGTTACCACAGCTTTCTCTTTCTACCTACCATAACCATCTGGATTAGAACGAGGAGTATAAAAGCTCTGTACACCACAGGTCTTGCAGAATGTGTGCTGGGCACTATGGGTGTTGAAGGTGTATGTTGTCAAATTATCGGCACCCTGAGCAAATGAAAAGCAGTGTAAGTGTTCCAGACAAGCAGAGGTACTAATTCCTTTCTACGGGTCTGTAGCTAAGAAATACAAAATCTAAAATATCAACTTTGTGTCTTTACTTGAGATGAGTTCTGTATTCATGCTCCTTTTCTGAACCCGTGTATATACACATGTCCATAACAGTCAAATCTGAGAACTGTGAAATCAGCTCACTAAGTAAGATGCACACACCCACACCAGGCAGCATAAAATTCAGCTGTTTCCCCCAGTCAGGCATAGACAAACTTAGGATAGAAAACTGGCTGCCACTTGCATCTTTGATGAGACTGCCTTATCCTGCTCATATTCACAGGCATGCTCTTACTGCATTCTTACTCTACCTTCAGCAGCTTGAAGCGCGACGCTGGGACAATGAAGTGTCTGTTCTGTTTCTTTGTGCAAATGCTGCAACTGTAAAGGAAAAAAGAGACCTTTCTAGAAGCAGTGGACAAGTTGTGGACTGCAGTCAGATCTATCACAGACCTCTGGACAACAGAAATTCCACCAACAGCTAAACTGGCTCCTGGACGCATCACAGAGGTAAGCAGCAACAGTGGACTTGTGGTATCAGTAGCGTCTGGCTAAGCACGCCCACTTAGACTGACCCTACATAGGTACACCAACAAAGTGTTCCCTTACACCAAACATCAGATGCCATTTTTGATTCACATACACAATTTCAACAGCCATTACAAGGCTCTAGGCCTTGTTTCTAGGCCTGAGAAACCCCTTTAATCTTTCAGAGCAGACTTGGCCAGTTTTGCCACCATGAATTATCTTGCAGACAAGAAAGAAAGGGTCAGAAGTCTACCCGTGCCTTAGAAGCAAACTACCTGCAGGCAAAGGGGGATTACTACTGAAATCAGACCAGGTTGCAGTTTGAGGCACATGTGGTCAGAGATGTTCATGTTAATGTTAAAACAGGATTGATGTCCTCTGAGCAGACTTGCACTGAGAGGAAACATAAAGCAGGCAGTTGAGTCCCTATATTTGTAGATCTCTCCTGAGCAGTGAGCAGGGCTGTGAGACCAGAACTGCCCAAAGAAGTAGCACCTGATCCCATATTGGATCAGGACATAATCAAGGGGTATACCCTATAGGAACAGCTCAAAGCAGTTGTGTCATCTTCTAGCTGTAAGGTGTTGGCTGGAAAAGCACATGAGCTTATATTCATCCATGAGAATAGGGAGCACATAAAACACTCACTTGCAGTTAAAAACATGCAGATCTGCTGAAGCCCAGACCTCAAAGCGGACTGCTCCACAGTGACAGCCTCCAGTGTGCTTGACCAAACCCCGGTATTCACTGGAGAGGGAAACAACAGAGATGTTTTCTCAATCTAATTTTTGGGGGTTTTGTCCAAGAAAACAGTAAGGTTTATGCTACATGATCCAGTTCAGCTTTGAGCAACTGTAGAACACCAGAAAACGTCCATTCTGATGTGTTTTAATAAAATGCCCCAGAATGACGTAGACGACGACTTTGGTCCTCTGTGGCAATGGCTCTTCTGGTTTACTTAAAATAGTGCAAAGGGAAGGAAAAGCAGTAGTTCAAGGAAAACACAGTCCACATGCAATACAACACGTGTGCTGTCCTGCCAGAGACCAGGGCAAAATGCTGACCCAGAGTCCGTGCAAAACTACCACAAGGAACTGAATCTTCCTACAATTATCCCACAAGTGCTCCAGCACTACTAAAATTCCTCCATTTAAAATCTGGGGAAAACAGAGAGCCTGCGCGGTATCTGAAATGCATTTTGTTGGGTACTGTAATTGCAGAGGAACATCACGGTCAAGCTTGTGCTTTCCCCCTTCCCCCAGCCACCTCCCTCGTCCCTGGGCAGCGCCGCCAGCCCAGCTCCAGCGCAAAAGGAGAGTGAGAAACCTTTTCCTTTCGGATTTTCACTCCCCCGGCCCATTACTGATTACAGCGCAGAGGTGCTGGGTTGTGCTCTGAGGTGGGGATGTAGCAGCTGAGCCTCAGCATCCCGCGCGGTGCCCCCGAGGGCGTTTTTGGTGGGAGAGCCCAAAAGCACAGGGAGCTTTAGCAGAAAACGCCACTTTCTCCGCGGTGCCTTCGCCCCCCCGCTCCTCACACCACAACCCCTTCTTCCCCACTGCAGCTCTCCAGATGCCGTGTTTAGTGCTGTGCTGCCGGGAGGGCAGTGATGTGGCGGGGCAGTGACCGCCGTCCGGCCCGTACTCACAAGGCATCCAGCAGCAGCCGCGCCGCCTCCTCGCAGCTCAGCCGGTGCCGCTCCTGGAACGCGGCCCAGCGCCCGCGCTGCTCCCCGAGATCGAAGTCTCCGGGCGCGGGGGGCTGTTCCTGCGGCCCCGGACCGGCCGGGGCACTGACCGCCGCCTTCCCGCTGCCGCTGCGGGCCGAGCCCGCGGAGGGGCTGGCGGCGGCGCTGCCCCGCCGGGACCGCCGAGCGCTGGCCGCCCTGAGCCGCCCCATGCGCCGCAGAGACGGGGCGCGCCGCGCCCGCCAGGGGGCGCCGCAACGCCGCGCAGCGTGACCGGGAGGGGGACCGGGGAGAGGGACTCTAAGCTGCCAGAGGGGAGACTGAGATGAGCTCTTAGGCAGAAGCTCTTCCCTGTGAGGGTGCTGAGGCGCTGGCACAGGGTGCCCAGAGAAGCTGTGGCTGCCCCATCCCTGGCAGTGTTCAAGGCCAGGTTGGACACAGGGGCTTGGAGCAAGCTGCTCTGGTGGAAGGTGTCCCTGCCCGTGGCAGGGGCTGGAGCTGGAGGAGCTGTAAGGTCCCTTCCAGCACAAACCGCTCTCTGATTCTGTGACTGGAAGCGCACTGTTGCACATCCCTTTTACGTGCCCACCCTTGGCTAGGAATAAGACTGCTGGTGAGCAGTACTGTGGTGCATCAAGATGTGCCTTCAAAAGTGTGGCTAGTCCTTCCTAAAATTGGAAATCATTACTGCAGCTTTGCAGAGAAACAGGTTCTAACATGATTCCCACTAGATGACCTTTCACAAGTTCTGTCATCAAAGGATGATAGAAAAGGAGAACAATCAAGATTGTAGAATCATAGGGTAGTTTAGGTTAGATAGTACATACCATTAAAACAAAGAAACAAATAAAAACCACCCCACTTCTCCCCCAAAAACAGCTTAGGAAAACATGAAAGCTCTCCTCTAGTGGTAACTGTCTTAGAAAAGGTTATTCTTGAACATCTAGAAGACAGTGCTGCTTCTCAAGTAAAATTATTCAATGCAGGGGAAAACCACAAAACTTGTCCAAGTCACATTTTGTTGGGGGAAAAGAACCCCGTCACTCCAAGGATGAGGCTTTGTGCCCAGCACAGGGAATTTCAACAGAACTGAATGTCTTGCTCTTCTCAGGAAGGGGAACAGGGAAAGCTGTCAACATGTGAGCTGACAGCTGGTTGTGGGGTGGAAGAGGCACTGACGGATCATGTCTCAGCCAGGAATACAGCAAAGCAACTGGACAGCAATGAATGAAGCAGCATCAGGTCTGGATAACAGCTTTAAAAACACACGACTGCAGTGTGTAGGCTGCCTCCTGAGATGGCACATACCAGGACTCACGTAACAACCCTGTCGCTCAGCACCTCTCTCCTCTGATGACAGGAAAGGTGCTGAGTTACAATTTCCTGTTATTTCTCATGTGAACCTCTGTTCTCGTTACTCATCCTTATGGAACCATTTTAATATGCTGTATGTGACAAATCCTGGTCCACGCCAGCATGTTTATCTGTAGCGCCTGAGCTGGGCCACTCCCAGACCTTTAGTCACCCTAAAGTTCATGTTAGTCACCTTGTATTTTGGGAAGAAAAGTCACTGAGGTGAAACTGGAGACCATGAGCCGAAACTGAGCCTGTGCAGTTTGCATCATGGAGTCATGTGCTGTCAGTGCAGGGTATGGCAGTTTCAAGTTTGAGCCTACATGGTCAGTCCTTTCCTAAAAACACTAAACTACACTGAACTGAAAGAACATATTTTAGGAGTTCATTAGCAATCAGCTCACACAAATTACCTCCTCTCTGCAATACAGGAGGCACTGGCACTTGTATGCTCTCAAAAAGCAGTTCCAGTGGCAAAAGTGATGTGCAGGCCATGTCATAGCTGCAAATCTATCCCTCTCTGCTCCTGTGCAATTAGTTCAGCATATTTTAAATGTAGGAAGCATTCTGAGAAGCTGAATTCTGTTTCCACTGTAACATTTCAGGATAAAGAACTAGGAGACAGAAATGGAAGAACAAAATGCAGCTTTGTTTCAGAAGGCTGCAGTAAAGAAATTCTTTCTGCTTTTTTATTTGTATCATATTTTATTACAAAGGACTCTTAGAGCTCAAAACTGGGTCTCACATAAATAACCAGTTCAAGAGCTTTATAGGGGATCTCTGGCTCATGACAAATTTCACTGGTATTTGGATTTACAAGCCCTGCATTTCAGTGGTTGCGTAAGGTATTGTCGGTGTACCTGGGGGGCCGGTGTTACCCAGTGCCTGAAGACTCAACAGCTCTCCTGATACATTACTGCCAAATCTGATGCAGTGTTTGCCATACTTCAGTAGAAGTCAGTAGCTTGATGAAGAATGGTTGTGGAGAAGGAAGCATTCAGAAAGATGAGGAAAAGTCCAGTAAATCAGTTTGTTTTCTTTAAGTATCTTGTGATACTAGAGTTCAACAGCTGACGTGGTTTAATGTTGAAGTACAAAGGTGTTTTTCCGTGCCAGCCTAGCCCTGCTTGTGTAACAATGACTCAGCTCTGCAGAGCTGGCTTGCAGCCCCCATTGAGATTCTGTCTGCAAGGGCATTTTCATTGCAAAGGCAGCTACATGTTTGTGGGTTAAAGAGAACTGGTTACTGTGGATGCTTTTCATCTAGTAAGCAGGGAACTAGAAGTAGTATATAGCTCACACCACATTTCATAGAACTGAAGTAGTTAAAACTGTATAGTTTGTGCAGGGGAGAAAAATGTCAGTGCTTGGATTTTAGTCTTCCTGTTGAGGAGGAAGAATTCTGCACATTCCCCTCCCCATCAAGGGATCTAGGCTGGATCTGAAAACAGAATACAGGTTATCACCCCTAGGCCACTGGATGCAGGCTATTCAGACTGACTTGGCAGTATTGGTTTTTGTTCACTGTCACAGAGGTTCTGTTGAAACACGCCGATAATGATTAACAGTGGGTTAAGACCTATTTCTTCTGTCTTTCTGTTGTTTTGTTTTTCAAGGTGCTTCTTTGCTATCCTGCTGAAAAACCTCACCCTAGAAACCACATGCTCAGTGGGCTCAGATGCAGCAGAGGGAACATGAACAAAGAGAGCTCCTTCACTGCAGTGCAGCTTGGATCAGATCCAAAAGACTCGCAGGCAGGAGGCAGACTGGAAAAAAAAAAGATGCAGACAAGTAATTTTTAGAATAGACCTTATTATTGATTGTTGCTTTCACTGGTGTGACATGCAGACACAAACCTGTGATGGCATCCTCATAAAACGCCCTTTAGAAGTCTCCTCACATCAACAGCGTAGACAATTGCCACATGTTCCTTGGGGTCATTTAGATCTACAGAGAAAGACGTGCCCAAGCCTATTTATTGTGGCAGCACAGATCATAAAGCTGTGTCCTGTGTGTCCTGCAAAGTCAAAATATCCTTTAAACAAACAGGGTAATAGAGGAGTATTGCTGATTCTTCTCTTTTTACTACAGATCTGGGTATCTGTTTGTTTTTCTTAAGATTTCATCTTCTGAAGTTGGTAGCTTATTAAAAACTTTGTTTATTTAAGGTATTTTTAGCATAAGGCTTAAAAACCAAACCTCGGATGGTTGTCTTTTTTTGGTAATCTCATAATATTACACTCAATCTTACAGTACTTTGGCTTGTGACTCACTATTTTTGTAACCCTTGAGCTTGGCAGGACAAGGACAAGCAGTAACATGCCACAGCCCTGTTTGTCTTGTGGCTGGAACTTCAGCAAAGATCAGGCTTTATTGCAGAGATACAGGTTTGGGAAGAAAATATTTATCTCCACAACTGTAAATAGATGAATATAATTATCTGGTGTCATACACAGTGAGAGACGTCTGAGGTAGGTAATACTGTAAGAATATACATTGTGGGTTTTTTTTCCCTGTGGCAAGTAGCCCTATTTTTATCTGAACAAAGGAACAGAACTGACCTGGCTGCACGTACTCACATCGCCTGACTAGCCGGCTGTCCCAACTTAAAGCCTTGTACTAAAGATAAACAGATTGCTTCATTTGACATTGCTCACTTAGAAATGATATGTGGTTGCTAAGACATTAGTGTACATAAAACCCAGACCCAGCTTGTGTTCTAGAATGTTACAGATTTGTTGGAAGCATTTCTTTGACCTCCAGATACTTCTCTTCTGAAAGTAGGTTGCTTTGTACCAGTGCCCAATGACCTACTTTTGAAACCACTTGGAAAGAAATACGTGTTCCCAACTGCAGGCCGCTGGCACCACCTGTGCAGTCAGGCCAGTCACAAGGTAATTTCTGTTTTATTGACCTTTGCATTTATTTATATACAGTTCACAGTCAGCTGCTTGATGATTCTTATTCACCAAGAGCTACATAGTGGTGTGTACCTTATAGACTTTGTATTTATGTTGTATAACCACAACATAAACAGATCTCCTGTGTCTGTAGCAAATTCAAGTAATAATATACTTTCTAAAGAAATTCTGAGGTAAAGCTGAAATTCAGTAAAACAAAGTCACCGGGGCATGACCTCCAGCCTAGGAGATTGTTCTGTACATATAATGTGTGAAAATAAGGCAGAATCTGGCCCACAATATAGAAACACTGCATTCTGACTTTAAAAAGAAGTAGCTTTCAATTTGGTAATAATTATCTTTGAAATAGTGTTAAGGAATCTATGCAGATACTAGGTGTGAAACATTCAGGACATGAGTTTACTACAGAGAAAATATCAAGGGACGGGAAAAGAGTCATTTAAGAAGCTTTCTGTATTCAGCCCACCCCCTACCCAGAAACAAAAGAGGTGGGCTCCATACAGGCACATAGATGGCTACTGAAGATTAATAATTAGGAGAATTAAATGAATCCAATCAGTAGAGGCTGCAGAATGGTGGCCTGTGTGGAGTACACTGCCTACAGGCTATGGAGATTAGTTTAATTCTGCTGGGCCCAGGAGCTGCATGCACAAAGCCTGACTCTTTGTTTATCTCTTTTGACAGAGGGATAACTGGGGAAAATAATGAGGCTTTTTACATGAAATTGATGAATTTAAACCATAATTGTCTAAAAGTATGAGCCTGTGTTCGATGTCAGCATGTTGCTGCCTGCGCTTGCTTAGGATAACGTCATTTCCCTGAAGAATGGATTTTTCAGGAGCCATTATTAAGAAGGTATTTAAACAATTACCCATGGCAGGCCCATCTGGTGGAATTTTATTCTGATCTGTTGATTTGAATACTTACACAGAAACAGAACAACCATACTGAAAGCAGACGGGTCATAGGATTTAGCCATACTTGGAAAATACAAGGGAAAGCTCCTGTGTTTTCTGGTTTACACATAAAGGGGAAAAAAAAAGAAATTTCTTTTTTCTCCTTCTCCATTTAGAGGGACATTAAAAAGCAAGGACCTGCACACTAAAAACCTTAATGCAAGTCTGATGTGCTGAAACGCAGGCCAGACTTCTTAGCCTGTTAATCTCCAGTTTAACACATACAAGATGTGGCCTTTCACATTTGTAAGTTTTAGTTACTCTGGCCTTCCTCTCAGGACTCCATGATCTTGTTTGGCTTTGGAACATGGTTCCCAGAGCAGTGTGTGGGATATGCAGGCCAGCTGTGGAACAAGCCTTTAGTCACCCTGGCACCAGGCAAACCAAACAAAGGTATTGGAAACACTGAGCAAAAATGGCAGCATAAAGAAAACAAATGTGCTATTGCCTAAATCTGATATTGCCTTCTGTCCTAAATTTATGTCACTGGATAGTATTCCCAAGGTTGGTTATTGCCATGGAGCCATCTCTAAACTTTGCAGTTAACCATTTTCCCCTCTTCCTGTGAATACATTGCGAATAGTTTTGTTGGGATGATTTATTCTTTTTTACTGCAAACCAGGAGGTATTGGCAGACACAAGCCCTGTCAGGAGAAAGGAAAACAGAAGAAGTTTGTTGTTGTTAAGGGTTTTTTAGTGGGTTTGGTTGTCTTTTAGGTTTTATTAAGGGGAAAACAAAGTAGCTGTGTACTGAATATTGCCGTTCACACACGTGCTTACGCTTTGTGAGTGGAGGATTTAAGCAAGTTCATCTGGCTTCACTGACAGGCTAGCAGCAGATAAAACACTGCCACATAAAAGCCTTTTTG